AAAAGAAAAAAAAGTCATGCTTAGTTTTCATGACTTCGTTTTTCAGAGGAAGTTGAAAAAAGGAAAGCAAAAACCCCCAACCCCCCAAAATACCCAGAGGCAGAAGAGATGGTGGAAGTGGAAGGGCAGGAGGATGCCTGGCAGCAGGCACGCGGCTGGCATCGGCGTTGCTGCTGCAGCGGGGTGCCCACCGTGGCCAGCGGCTGGGCCCTCCATGTGACGTAGGGAGTGTATCTCAAGCGCGAGTAGTGCGACTCGCCGTGACAGAAGGAAACGTAGCAATGCATCAACAACCCTTCTCCTGCCTGCGGTGATTCATGTCTTCACCTGAAAAAAAGTACTCCCCGAGCTGGGTTTCCATCAACAGTTTTAATGGGACTATCCCGCTGTGAAGGTTCTTGGAAACTAAGTGACTTTTGGAAAAACTCTCCAGTGACCTGGCAGTAGTAAAACGTAGCCCACGGTAAGTCGTTCCCATCTCACACTTGTTTCCATTCTGACAGAAACTATTCCCCCACCCCCCCAGTTTTGGCTTGTTCTGCTCCGCCCTGGAGGTGCTCCCGTCCTTTCCCAGTGCCCCCCTGTGAAATCACCGCGAGCTGCCCAGGTCCTTTTCCCTGCTGCTCCTCCGGTGCATGCTCCCCCAACACAACACTCGCCTGGGACAACTACCCTGGTCCTCAGATGAGTGTGAAGCTCTCAGTGGGCTGGCTTTGTTCTCCTTTTTTTTCAGTTGCAATGTGGAAATGCTCTTCCCCATGTGAGGCAAAGGCACACTGCCCTTTGCTGCAGGGGAAAGTCCGTATCTGAAAAATGGAAAGCTTGACCTTAGAGGAGGATGTACAGATGAACGGACCAAAATAAATAACACCACATCCTTTCTGTATTTACAAATTAAATAGAATAAATAATGTCTGTATGCAACAGTGGCAGAACATGGATCATAGTGTGGGCAGGGCTGCCCTGGCTCATGCTGGGCTCGTATGGCAGCTGCTGCACGCATCCTGCACCCTATCGGAGGTAGCCAGTGCCCTGGGTCTCTGCCATAGGGGCTGAATGCCGAAGGGCGTCCGTAGGGTCAGGAAAGTCCCTCATTCCCGCGAAGTGAGGCCAGCCAGGATGGGAGCTCCGCGGTCCCAGCAGCAGGATGGCTGACGTCAGGCTGCTCTTCGCTTTTGATGTCTGTGTTGTGAAAGGGTTAGATGGCATCAGCGGCGCAGACGTCAGCTGGAGGAGCCCCGCGCTCGCCTGTGAAAGGGAGAAGTGGGGGGGGGAAGTGCAGGGCTGGCGCTGGCCCCGGCCCCGAGGGTGGCCCTGAATCCTGGGGCTTCGTGTCCCACGCTGGGCTGCTGGGGAGGGCAGACAAGACAGGATCACCCTTTGGAAATGTCCTGGTGTGTATCCTTGGGCTTGGTGGTCAGAGGAGGGGGGGGGGCCGAGCCCCTCCAGCGCAGCTTGTCCCCGTGTCTTGTTAGCTTTACACCAGAGTCTGGCTGGAGGGAAGGTGCAGGGCGCACTGGGGGTACCACTTTGGCCTCAGTGGTACCACGGCCAAAGCAGCCCCAGAAGTAGCGAAGCTGGTGCTTCTCGGGCGAGTCTTGGCCGGGGCACCGCTCAGTTTGATGTATTAACATTCAGGGTTCGGCAGTAGCTTATCGAAGTAGCTGCTCCCTGTGGGCAGGTGCTAGAAGAGGTAGTTGGGTCAGCGTGTGGGGCTGGCAGGCACCCGCTCCCCAGCATGGGGACGGCTCACAGGCGGCTGTCCTTGTTGTCCCCATTGAGCAGGCTCAGGGGGTTGATTTGCAGCGTGAGCCACTCATTGGTGCTGAGGCTGGAGATGAGGGGCAGCGTCCCCAGGAGGTCAGTGTTGAAGATGTGCAGGTCGAAGGGAGCTTTCAGGAGCTCGGGGCCAGCTTTGGAGGCCAAGGGAGCACCCGGAGCCCCATAGCTTAGCAGAGAAGGGGCTTGGAGCTCCACCTGGCTGGAAAAGTCCCAGGCAGTGGACTCCCGAGGGGCCCCCCATGGAGCAAAATCCTGTGCGTGGCTGCGGGGATGCTCGGGAGAGGACTGCTTCAAATACCCTTTGGCTACAGCCAGCTCGGAGCACTCTACATCCAGCACGATGTCAGTGCTGCCCGGGCCCTGCGGGGATCCTGCACAGCCTGAGAAGGGCATCCCCTTGGCTGGGTCCTGCCTTGGCTCCACTGTGCCCTTGGACTGCTGCAGGTACCCACGGAACTCCACGTCTTGCTGGCTGTCCTGGCCGGCGGCAGGGGAGAGGCTGAGCTCCCCTCCACGGGGCTGCCTGGCCTCCGCAGGGCTGGCGTTCCCACTGCCAGAGGAGCATGTGGGGCGAGGGCGGGTGCTCCCCAAGCCCACGCCACTGTCGTCACCAGTGGGCAGCTGCCGCTTGTAGCCCTGGGGCTCGGGGCCTGGGGAGCAGCTCAGTTCAGAGGAGGTGTGCAGGCAAATGCCGCTGTCGGTGCTGGTGCAGCTGCTGTCTCCGCTCCTCGTGGCTCCCGGCCCCAGCAGGCACACCCGGTCCTCGGGCCAG